CCCCAAAACCCCAAAACCCCAAAACCCCAAAAGAAGAATATAGAAATGCTTGGAATTAAATAATTTGATAATTAATACAAAAAATTTTATAAGAAATTAGACTCTACTTAGAAATGAAAGCTATTCTTGCCCATTGGAGATTCATGATTTTATAGTAAGCATTGAACATTAAACTTTTTAGCAGTTGGTTTGCTTTGTAAGCTGACCATATTACTGCTTAAAGTTGCTTTCAAACTTTCCCAGTAATAGCGGGAGGATAACTTGGAAGCACAGTATTTACTTGCATGGATGTTGACTTATTCGGAAACGTAGCTGTAGGAGGTTATAGTTCTGACCCAACACTTGTGAATACTTTAAATGTGCCGAATCCTATAGCTTAGTTTATTCTCTAAGGGGGAGCGATTAAATGGTCAATATCTATGAACACTAACTTTAACGAAGTTACTGCTATCAAATTTACACCAAATACTGAAAAACTTATACTTGCTCTCGACACTTAATAAGGGTAAAACTTGGTATTTGTTGTATTGCAGTCTATCAGTGGTGCTGTAATTGACAAATACTAAATGTAAGGTAGTGGATCAGTAGCTGCTGATGGTATCTAATACTTCGATGATGGGAATGTTTATGCAGCAATGTAGTATCAATAAAAATGGACTTTTATGAAGTTTTCAACGATCACATCCCCTCCTTCAAATAGTATATTCTTTCTTTAGCACGGCATCGTCGGAGGGAAAGCATCAGCTATATTCTACAAGAATGAATTTCAAAATTTTTATGTCTCTGGATTGTATAAACCATCAACTTAAGTAAAATTCTCACTAACTAAATTCAATAGGTATTTGCCTCTATAAATGTGATTAACACTGATGGTCGTCTCTTGTCAAGCTTTGGATATTTTCAAGGGTTCAATCCTAATGCAATGTATTCGTATGATAGAATTAAAATGGTCTAGAAAGGTTCAAATTATTACTTGTGGACTTGTGGATCAAAATCTGACTCATCTTCAATAATTGTGAGTTTAGTATTGCTTACCGATTTGACAACATTTATTTTTCAAACATTTCAGGCAATGTAAAGTTTTATAAATCTTAATCAAACCTTAAATTATCTGTAGAGCTTTGTCCTTCACATCATGCATTTAAATAGCACCAGTTGATGATACAAGAACATACTACCTATTTTATAAAGCTGGCTCCATAATGATTGGATGGTTTAAGATAAATGATAGTTAAAATAGAATATAGTTCTATCGAGTTTCATAGTTAAATTCCGATACTAGAAACAAACTCTTTCATGGAATATAGTAATCAGGGTAGAATTTCTACTATGTTGGGCAAATGTTTACGCTCAATACTAATCCTGCCAGAGATTATACATCTGGGAACAGCTTGTCTGTTGGATTGTTTTAGTTCACAGGTGCTACCACCTCATCTTTATTTTACACAATAATTGTGCAAAGTAATTCTTAAACCACCTGGACAGTACTAAGTAAGCATACTTTTGCATTGAATTTTAAATCAATATATTATAGCGGCATCTGGAAGTTTTTTATCAGACTTGGCTTTTAATTAAGAATCATAATTTGTCCCATTAACAACATACGATATTGTAGCATAGGTATGAATAATATCCTTAATATGTTATAGAGTCAATTAAATCAACTAGCATAGATAGACAACTAGCCCAGTTTAACGATATCAGCAGACTTATCAAACCAGGTGTATTTAATTGGATAAGCTACTTTGACTTATACATTTGAGAGCTTTAAAATTACCTAACCGTGCTCTGATATAAGAATATATCATGAAATTGAGGGTAATGTTCCAAGCTTTATCAAGGTAAATATGCAAGCGAAAACTTTTTCAATTTACTCTAATGATGAAAATGACGTAGGTGATTACACCATATCTATCAGAGCTACAATTAACAATGGGTAATATCTCATTAGTGCATTTAAAGTTTTGATTAAAACAGCTTGCGAGAGTTCTTAAATTTATTAATCAGAAATTCAATAATAAACATATATTGTGAATGAAGATGAAATCAGCTATTAATTTGATGCCTTCTAATCTTCAAATAATAACTGCGAAATTAATTATGAGATGTTGAATAATAATGGGAATCCAATTGATAAATTATTAATAAAGAGCTTCAGCTCTAGTTTAAGACTAATTACAATTTATACATAAGATGAGGGATTAGTTGGAACTCATGTTTTCTTTGTAAGAGGGTATTTTAAAAATGCCCCTGATGTAAAACAAGATTCTTAGTTCACTATTGATATCAAGTCGAAGTGCTTTGGCAATAAGTTATATCCCTAATAAATAGGTGATGTTGTCTATGACTACAATGAAAATTAATTAGTCACAATATCAGAAATTTCCTGGGGTTAAAGATACGCCGAAGATTGTCCTCAACTTGTGTACTTATTATATGATGAGATAAATAATAGCTTAGATGAAGAAATTTTCATGTTGAAAGATAATAAGAGAATTAAGATGCAAACTTAAGATAATGAGAAGAGTGGAACTTACTAATTGAAGTTAGTTGGCAAATCATTGCGAGATTCAATAGAATATTAGCAAGAATCAGTAACTTTCAAAGTTTTAATTAGAGATGGTTGTCCGCTTGCTTCAGTATAAACTTTCAAGCCTGATGATCAAATTTATAATATAGATGAAAGTCCTTTAGTTTTTGCATTCGATTAATGGATACCTTCTACATTAACCTGTGGAGAAGTTAGCTATAAGCTCTCCAATGCTGATGATAGTAATCTGATTGATGCATTTATTATGGATTCTAATGTGAGATCAATAACTGTTAAAACTAGTAATCTTGAATTAGCCAATGTATATCAACTTAAGTTAACAGGAAAATTGGGAGAGAGAGGACCAGAAAAAGTAGTGTTATTTTAAGTAACAATCATTGATCCTTGTTTTAAGGCAATTATTACAAAGAATTAAGTAATAGATGAATAATTGTTCTATATAAATGGGCCTTAGATTGAGTTCTTTTTTACGGATTTCGATATCAAAATTGAAAATAAATAACTATGTGGGGGCTTTGCTTATGAGGTTTCTGGAATCTCAAATTCTTAGCTAGATGACTCTATAACTTATAATTAAGAATAAAAATCCTTCTAAATTAAAACAAGTGATGAAACAAAATCAAGTTTGACACCATACTATATTAAAATCAAAGGATTTTAGAGCAATTATCCTCAGAATTATTTAATCATGGATATCTTAGTAAGGTATCTCATAGATTGCTAATACTAGGACGCTAAAGCTCCAGAAAATTATTTGCAAACATATACTGTGATGGATCCTATTGCCCTCGTAAACTATGGATAATTCAAACTAACTCTATCTTCTTGTCAATTAGTATACATCTGCACTGACTAAGAAACTAGCTCAAGCTGTGACTCTAATATATTTAACTTTGATTCAAATAGTGGCTAGTTAAAAGTTTATTCTGAAGATAATAACAATGCCAGATAGTATAATCTTTAAATATAGGGTAAAGTAGGAAATTACTAAAGTGAAGCAGTATAAATCACTGTACAACTATTAAAATTAGACTGCATACTTTAGTAGCCAAATGATATTATTAAGAGTCCATAATTCTATACAATTGATGAAAGCGCAATATATATTTCTTACAGTAACTTTTAAAAATAGACAGCTACTTGCAAAAATGTTTAGTATGCCACCTCTTTGTATTTAGAAGATAATACTGAAATTCAAGATCCAGAAATTTTAAGTGCAGTTGTAGTTGATCAAGATAATGGAAGGATCACTGTTAAATCTCAGAATATTAACCTTATTAATACATCAGTTACGGTTGTGCTTAAAGCTGTTGAAGAAAGCGGAGTAGAAATAACTTAGTAGTTTGAGCTTTAGTTTTAAGAGAAGACGACAACTACCACAACTACTACTACAGCTCCACCATAATGTAAAGTTTTAAGCTTAAAAATAAATACAAAAGACACACTCACTGACTAGCTTGATCAGTAGACATATTACTTATTTCAAGGATAAAAATCAATATTTTTCAATGAATTTCTGCAAGCTTCTAACTGTGAATATGCTGTTTCATATCTGATTTCTGTTAAGGGATATTAATATATTCCAAATTTTCTTACAATAGACCTATCTAAATCCCCTATGAAAATAACTATAAACTCTGAATCCAAAATAGACGCATAAAATTCACCTTATGTTATATAAATTGTAGGGTTGGTAAAGAATCCAGATGGAACCAAGATTTAAACCACACTCTTCTTACCGCTAAATATCTAATCTTAAAACCTAGGAGCTCCATATTTTCAAACATCCCTTTCAGGTATTTATTGTAAAAATGTAATTAAAAATTATAGATATCAACTTGAAAGTTGGAGATCAGTATAATTTAAATCTACCAAAATTATTAGATTAAGATGGGGATACGCCTATAGTAAGTAGTATAGATTTTAAGAATGCAAGCAGATTTATTACTGGCTAATATCCAAACTACAGACTTACTCCAAACTACAATAATTTGGGAGAGTTCTAGGTATCCATTGCAGTAACTGATGATAATCTTAGTCCTCTGACAGCTAATTACTACTTTAAAATTGTTGTAACAAAAATGAACTCTTCTTAGAATAAAAATGAAACAAAAGCCAATCAGACTTAGAATTAAAATTTAAAAGTATAATTATTTTTTAATTATTTTTCAGATTACTGATAAAGTTACAGAGGAACTATCAATGAAAATAGAAGAGATATCAATATTTGGTGAAATTATTGTTTCATTTTCTAGAGAGATTATAGTTCCAGATATTATTGAAGCAATTGACTAAAACGTACTGAAAATTTATTTAGTTGGGAGCGAATCAACTGCAAAAATAGCAAATCTTAGGAACCTCTATAAATAAAATAGAATGCTTCAATAGTTAGATAAAGTATTGAATTGGTAGATTATGTGTAAATTTATTATACTTACCTGTTTTCATAGAATTCACGGGCGAATATATAAGAATATAAATAATTGAAAGTGACCTATAAAAACTAATATAAGATGTAAGTATAGCTAATTATTGAAGATAAATTATAATAGAATGGAGGCCAGTTAAAATTAGAAATAATTCAAAATGGCTATTTTATTGATAAAGTAACTGGCTTGGCTATCAATATAAGGCAATAGGCAACATAAATTGTAACCAGTTAGATTATAAATGATCGTAATTATTTCATCTTTTAAGGATTTTAGTTGATTCGTATCAATTTATAAGATACTTCAAGTATTTTGCTTAGCTGATTTAATGGTTAATATTCATTTGCTTGATCTTGAATTTCATAATGTAAGAACTATAATTGTTAGCTATTAAAAATTCATTTCTTTAGTTGCTCTGATCCATTTTTAATTTGGAGTTTTATCAATGGGCTGTAGATGGTTGTGTATTTGCCTATATTGAATCTTAATTATCCTGCTAATTTCCGCTACCTATGCTCACAACTTAAAGATCTAGTGAACTATAATTACTTTTCACCAATCTATTATGATGATTCCATAAGCAGATCATCCTTACCTTTTGGCTTTTAGCAGATCGATATCTTTTAAAATCTTTATACTAATTCTACTTTAGTCCTTAACCACTTACGATACAGCACATCAAATAGCTTATAGAATTAAGGGAGTTTTCCAATCTATATTTTGATTATAATTATCATAGTGCTTTTGCTAAACATTGGAAGATATTTGCTCAGAAATAATGAACTGTAATATACCAAAGATAACGATTTAATTTTTAGTGCATTAATACTCTTGAGTCATCTCAGTAGTAGATTTAATTATCTTGTTCCATTTAGATTATTATTTCAAGGCTATTTATTGTTACTGACTAGTTCTTGGCTAAACCTTTAAGAAGTAATAAAAGTTGTTGATAATTTAATAGATTCATGACTCAAGTGATTTTCACAGATTTAGTGCATTCTATGCAATCTTGATTATGATGATATGTATTATTCTGCCTATTTTTTGCATAGCAATTATGATTAAGCCTTAAATTGTTAAAAGCTAAGATAGGAGATAAGACATTGGGCTATTTTTCAAGATATTTAATAAAGAAATAGATATATCATTATTTTACAATGTCATATTCCTGTTCAGAAGAATATTTTTAGTCTCAATTGCTTTTGAGCTAAGAGAATATCAGGCTTTTGCAATCTGGATTATGATGTTTTCAAGTTTAATATCGATTATATATATCTGCTACTTGAAACCATTTAAAACCGAATCATTAAACTAGACTGAAATTTTTAACGAGCTGTGTGTCTTAGCCTCTACTCATCATCTCTATATCTATACTAATTTTGTTTAAAACTACGAGTCCTAATATAAAGCTGGTTGGTCTCTTATTATGCTTGTTATTTTAAGCATGTTTGGTAATATAGTTCAAATCGTCATAAAAACCATTTAAGTCCTATTATTCAATACCAAGCGTTTACTATATAAATTAAGATTGTGGAGGGCAACTTAAGATTAAAAAGCGATTAAAAAGAAATATAAAGTTAGAATATATGATTAAAATTAAAATCCTATTGCTAAAAATAGTGAATAGTTTGTCAAAGATGATGATCAGGCTGAAGAGTAGAAGTTTTAGACAACTCAAAATTAAGATCTAGGCGATAAAAGTAATCTACCAGAAATTAACTAAAAGAAAGTAATGATGGAGAAGAGTGACTTTTTTGAAATCTTGGATGGGAATAGCTCTCAGAATGATATTAGCAATATTAACGTAGATGATACAAATATGAATCTTGAAGGAACTAAAGTAGTTCTCATTAGAGAATTAGGCTAAATGAAAAATAAAAATAGAAGTCTAGAATCTACTATCAAAAGAAAAGGAATAGGTAAAACTAAAGAAATTCTTTTACTTAATAATGAAAGTGCTATCTAAGAGCTTATAGACGTGACACTAGGACAAACTCCTGATGATAATAATTATGAACTTGATCACCTGGATGATTTGTACTAGAAAAAAGATGATTAACCTTAATTCCATATATTTGAAAAAGACGAGTTTGATGAATAAGATTAAAGAGATGATCTCATATCGGAAAATTCAATCCATCAGAGCTAAATCTATAATATTCCTCTCAAACTTAGGGTTCTTAGGGAAGAAATGGAAGAGGACATTAATGAGGACACAATAGTAAAAGAGTATACTTACATTTAGAGCAATCTTTCTAAATATGTAATGAATGAAGTATAAGAATAATAGCTTCATACCGTTAAACTTCCTCTAATTAATGACGAGAGTAAATCCTTCTTCGTTAGTTAACTTTCTGATACTAACAAGACTCCATTAGCTAATCAACTTACAGAAGAGGATATGATACTCAAGAGCTACGACGATGAAGAATTCTAATCAATCAATACTCCTAAAAATTACAAAAACAAAACCATCCAATTCAAGAAGAACTAGAAATTTTACAAAGAGCTTGAAAATGAGTAACTTGATCTTGAAGAGCAATTAGTTAAAGATGACGAGAAAAAATAAGAACTAAAGAATAATCCAAACTCCATAATAAACTTTTATGATGGATAACTATATAGAACTACCAAGTATTGATTAAACCAAATATTTTTTTGAAATAATTCTTAATTTCAGAAACTTAGATAAACATTTCAATTATTACTAATGGGGTTTTGGGGTTTTGGGGTTTTGGGG